GTCCCCAGCCTGGCCCGTTGTCCCCCAGCCTGGCCCGTTGTCCCCAGCCAGGCCCGTTGTCCCTGGCCTAGCCCGTTGTCCCCAGTCTGGCCCGTTGTCCCCAGCCTGGCCCGTTGTCCCCCAGCCTGGCCCGTTGTCCCCAGCCTGGCCCGTTGTCCCCAGCCTGGCCCGTTGTCCCCAGCCTGGCCCGTTGTCCCTGGCCTAGCCCGTTGTCCCCAGTCTGGCCCGTTGTCCCCAGCCTGGCCCGTTGTCCCCCAGCCTGGCCCGTTGTCCCCCAGCCTGGCCCGTTGTCCCCAGCCTGGCCCGTTATCCCCCAGCCTGGCCCATTGTCCCTGGCCTGGCCCGTTGTCCCCAGTCTGGCCCGTTGTCCCCAGCCTGGCCCGTTGTCCCCAGCCTAGCCCGTTGTCCCCAGCCTGGCCCGTTGTCCCCCAGCCTGGCTCGTTGTCCCCAGCCTGGCCCGTTGTCCCTTACCACTTCCAAGTCACCTGGTCCCTGGTGGCTGCCAGAGGGTGACTGCTCGCCTAGCGTCTTGGACTGGACGGTAGAGCGACGGTCTCGCTTCATGCAGGTCGGCGTTCAATCCCCGACCGTCAACAAGTGGTTGGGCACCATTCCTTCCTTCCGTCCCATCCCAAATCCTGACCCCTTCCCAGTGCTATTTAGTCATAATTACTTAGCGCTTTGCCCTGATAATTCCTTCCCTATAGCGTGTAGGGTTATGGAATTATCTCTTTCCTGTCCTAGGGGGAGAGGGGGAGGGGTAGGGGAAAGAGGAAGGGGGGGGGATTGGGGGGTTGGGGTGTTGGGGGGGTTGGGGGGAGGGGGGGGGATTGGGGGGTTGGGGGGTTGGGGGGGTTGGGGGGAGGGGGTTGGGGGGTTGGGGGGAGGGGGGGTTGGGGGGATTGGGGGAGGGCAAAGGTTAAAGCAAAGAGGAACAGGTAGGTCACAAACCGGAAAAGATGAGCTCAGAGGCGAGAGGAAGTAGCATTATCTTCTTCATCTCCTGCAGCATCCTTATCTTCATCCTTATCTTGAGGTTATCTTGAGATGATTTTGGGGCTTTTAGTGTCCCCTGGTCCTCGACCAGGCCTCCACCCCCAGGAAGCAGCCCGTGACAGCTGACTAACTCCCAAATACCTATTTTACTGCTAGGTAACAGAGGCATAAGGTGAAAGAAACTCTGCCCAACGTTTCTCGCCGGCGCCCGGGATCGATCCCGGGACCACAAGATCACAAGTCCAGCGTCCTGTCCGCTCGGCCGACCGACTCCCCTAGGCAAGGTGCTCTCCTTGACCTCACATGGGGTCAAGGCAAGGTGCTCTCCTTGACCTCACATGGGGTCAAGGCAAGGTGCTCTCCTTGACCTCACATGGGGTCAAGGCAAGGTGCTCTCCTTGACCTCACATGGGGTCAAGACAAGGTGCTCTCCTTGACCTCACATGGGGTCAAGACAAGGTGCTCCCCTTGACCTCACATGGGGTCAAGGCAAGGTGCTCTCCTTGACCTCACATGGGGTCAAGGCAAGGTGCTCTCCTTGACCTCACATGGGGCCAAGGCAAGGTGCTCTCCTTGACCTCACATGGGGTCAAGACAAGGTGCTCTCCTTGACCTCACATGCGGTCAAGGCAAGGTGCTCCCCTTGACCTCACATGGGGTCAAGGCAAGGTGCTCTCCATGACCTCACATGGGGTCAAGGCAAGGTGCTCTCCTTGACCTCACATGGGGTCAAGGCAAGGTGCTCTCCATGTTGACGTCGTCATATTCCTGTATGGGTCGTCTGTCGCAATCCATGTGTTGCACTCTGTGTGTCATGCTATGTATCTCTCCCTGTGTCTCCCCCCACGTATCTCTCTCTCCCCCAGCATGCGAGCCCTTGCAACAGTGCCGACAAACATCATATATTATTCACTCTCCTGTAACAAAACCTGGTTAGTAATCACTTCACTTTTTAAATTGAAAAATATATATATATATTTTTCTATTTAAAACTGTTCTATGGCATTTAAAAAATAAATACATATACAATTTTTGATTAATAGGAACCTACATATATTCAGGGAATATATAGAGCATATTTATCATTGTTAAAAGTTTTATATCATATAGTGCAGGAGAAGAGTTATATATCCAACGCTATCAGCAAAATATTTATTTAATGCTGTTTGGCAAGCAGCTGTCCTGGCCAGCAGGGTTATATATATATATATATATATATATATATATATATATATATATATATATATATATATATATATATATATATATATATATATATATATATATATATATAATTGTGATGTGAGTAATATTACTGATCTATGTGATCTATTAATTATCTATTTGATCTATTATCTATAATCTATTTGATCAAGAACATATATATGTCCAAGAACATGAACTATAAGAGGAATTTGGTCCTGCATAATTATCCAGGTTATATATTTTTATTTATTGGTAAACATATTTGTGTTTCCAATGGTTACTCCACCTGGGAGTTTCTTTGTTCCATTGGGGATTATCCTGGCCTCTAACAGGAGGGTAAAATTAATCCTTAATCCTCAGACGACAACAAATGTAACTAAGCATAGGTCAACAGTCTTGGCCTCGGGGTCACGGCCAATCACTAGACAGGGTGTTGACGGACAGCCTGTCACACTCTCCTCACTCCGTCTCCTCTGTCTGTTATCTCCTCTACTCCTCTCCTGTCTCCTCTTTCCATCTTTCCACCAGAGGGAAGGAGGGAGGGAGAGCAGAGGAACCATCACTCTCGCTCTAGATAACAGGCTTCACGCTCACACATACATACATACACACCAACATACATACATACATACACGTCCGAGTATACATTGCCGCCATATGATTTGAAATGCCTCAGAAATCAGGCGTGTCTGGGCCGTAGCTGTCACGGCCATGGCTCAATTAGAGGAAAAAGCTTTTAGCGAAATACAAAGGCGGAGTCCCAGTAGAGTACTAATGCTTGCAGGAGCCGGCTGGAGTGTCCCTCGCTGGCTCGGCCTCCAGTGAGCAGTAGCTTGGCCGGCTGCTTCTCCACTCTATTACGAAGCTGGAAGAAGGAAGCAGTGGCCTCCAGGGTGCTTTTGGGACTATGATAAACTTTTGTATACACTCAGACAGTCTCCCTAACCTGGATACCAAGCAAGCTGATGGAGAAGATTGTGCGAAGAAAGCTAGTGGAGCATCTGGAGCGAAAGAACTTTGAAACACAGCATCAACATGGGTTCAGGGATGGCAGATCCTGCCTCACAGGGTTACTTGAATTCTACGACCAGGCAACAAAAATAAGGCAAGAAAGAGAAGGGTGGGCAGACTGCATATTTTTGGATTGTCAGAAAGCCTTTGATACAGTGCCACACAAGAGGCTAGTGCGAAAGTTGGAGATACAGGCTGGAGTGAAAGGGAAGGTACTCCGGTGGATACAGGAGTACCTAAGCAACAGGAGACAACGAGTCTGTGTGAGGGGTGAGGTCTCAGATTGGCGAGATGTTACGAGTGGAGTCCCGCAGGGGTCAGTCCTTGGACCTATACTGTTTCTGGTATATGTAAATGATCTCCCAGAAGGTATAGAAAAGTTCCTCTCATTGTTTGCTGATGATGCAAAAATTATGAGGAGGATTAAGACAGGAAGATAGTATGAAGCTACAAGAGGACCTAGACAAACTGAATGAATGGTCCAACAAATGGCTACTAAAGTTCAACCCGAGTAAATGTAAGGTAATGAAACTAGGCAGTGGAAACAGGAGGCAAGACACAGGATACAGAATAGGAGATGAAGTACTTAATGAAACGGACAGAGAGAAAGATCTAGGAGTTGATATCACACCAAACCTGTCTCCTGAAGCCCACATAAAAAGAATAACGTCTGCGGCATATGCGAGGCTGGCTAACATCAGAACAACGTTCAGGAACCTGTGTAAGGAATCATTCAGAATCTTGTACACCACATATGTAAGACCAATCCTGGAGTATGCAGCCCCAGCATGGAGCCCGTACCTTGTCAAGCACAAGACGAAACCTGAAAAAGTTCAGAGGTATGCCACTAGGCTAGTCCCAGAACTAAGAGGCATGAACTTTGAGGAAAGGCGGCGTGAAATGCACCTTACGACATTGGAAGACAGAGGAGTAAGGGGAGACATGATCACTACCTACAAAATTCTCAGGGAAATTGACAGGGTAGATAAAGATAAACTGTTTAACACTGGTGGTGCGCGAACAAGGGGACACAGGTGGAAACTGAGTGCCCAAATGAGCCACAGGGACGTTAGAAAGAACTTTTTCAGTGTCAGAGTAGTTAACAGGTGGAATGCACTTGGAAGTGATGTGGTGGAGGCTGACTCCATACACAAGGTTCAAATGTAGATATGATACAGCCCAGTAGGCTCAGGAATCTGTACATCAGTTGATTGACAGTTGAGAGGCGGGACCAAAGAGCCAGAGCTCAACCCCCGTAAGCACAACTCCACACCCACACACACACACACACACAAAGTGTGTGTGTGTGTGTGTGTCAATGTCTCAAACAAGCGAACAGTGGTGGTCGGCTCTCTCTAACGATCCAGTCATTGTGTCTTTTCTCTCCCTCTCTCTATCCCTCCCTCTCTCTCACTCCAACTCTCTCTCTCCCTTCCTCCCTCTCTCTCTCTCTCTCCCACTCTCTCTCCCTTCCTCCCTCTCTCTCTCTCTCTCTTGAACTCCACAATTCCCGTTCAGAACTTCTTCTTTGTTTTCACTGTGTTTTTAATTCCCCTCACTTCCGTCTCCCCTCAGATCATCCCTTGCTTCTCACCCCCCTCCCCCTACCTCTCCCTCTCAGGCATGCCCCCCTTCCCTTTTATCCGCGTCTCTTCCGGCTACTCCTCTTTACCTGCTTCTCTTCCTCATCTTGTGTTTCGTCTCCCTGCTTGTCTTGGTCTTAAGTCCTGGACGACCAGACGCAGTCTTGGTCTTAAGTCCTGGGCGACCAGGCGCAGTCTTGGTCTTTAGTCCTGGGCGACCAGGCGCAGTCTTGGTCTTAAGTCCTGGGCGACCAGGCGCAGTCTTGGTCTTAAGTCCTGGGCGACCAGGCGCAGTCTTGGTCTTAAGTCCTGGGCGACCAGACGCAGTCTTGGTCTTAAGTCCTGGGCGACTAGACGCAGTCTTGGTCTTAAGTCCTGGGCGACCAGGCGCAGTCTTGGTCTTAAGTCATGGGCGACTAGACGCAGTCTTGCTCTTAAGTCCTGGGCGACTAGACGCAGTCTTGGTCTTAAGTCCTGGACGACCAGACGCAGTCTTGGTCTTAAGTCCTGGCGACCAGGCGCAGTCTTGGTCTTAAGTCCTGGACGACCAGACGTAGTCTTGGTCTTAAGTCCTGGACGACCAGGCGCAGTCTTGGTCTTAAGTCCTGGACGACCAGACGCAGTCTTGGTCTTAAGTCCTGGACGACCAGGCGCAGTCTTGGTCTTAAGTCCTGGACGACCAGGCGCAGTCTTGGTCTTAAGTCCTGGACGACCAGACGCAGTCTTGGTCTTAAGTCCTGGACGACCAGGCGCAGTCTTGGTCTTAACCATACTTAAGTGTACGAATCCAGGGAGCCAGATTCACGAAGCAGTTACGCAAGTACTTAAGAACGTGTACATCTTTCCTCAATCTTTGACGGCTTTGGTTACATTTATTAAACAGTTTACAAGGATACAAACTTGCCAATCAACTGTTGTTATTGTTATAAACAGCCTCCTGGTGCTTCGGAGCTCATTAAATGTTTAATAATTGTAAACAAAGCCGCCAAAGATTGAGAAAAGATGGACAGGTTCGTATGTGCTTGCGTAACTGCTTCGTGAATCTGGCTCCAGCGCTTTAACGGATGACGTTGTCCTTTGGACGAAGCGTAAATACCGGTACGCTTAATACGCTTAGTACACTTTGTACGCTTAGAACTCTTAGAATGCTTAGTACGCTTTGTACGCTTAGAAAGCTTAGAACGCTTAGAACGCTTAGTACGCTTAGAACGCTTAGTACGCTTAGAACGCTTAGTACGCTTAGAATGCTTAGTACGCTTAGAACGCTTAGTACGCTTAGAATGCTTAGTATGCTTAGAATGCTTAGTATGCTTAGAATGCTTAGTAAGCTTAGTACGCTTAGAATGCTTAGTATGCTTAGTACGCTTAGAATGCTTAGTACACTTAGAACGCTTAGTACGCTTAGAACGCTTAGTACGCTTAGAATGCTTAGTATGCTTAGTACGCTTAGTACGCTTAGAATGCTTAGTATGCTTAGTACGCTTAGAATGCTTAGTACACTTAGAACTCTTAGTACGCTTAGAATGCTTAGTATGCTTAGTACGCTTAGAACGCTTAGTACGCTTAGAACGCTTAGAACGCTTAGAAAGCTTAAAACGCTTAAAACGCTTAAAACGCTTAGTAAAGCAAAGGGAATTTCGATGCGTTGTTCTACAGTTCCAAAATTGTAGCCCGTTAAGTGTGAGGACAAGTTGAACCGTTTCATCCTTAAATACGGCCTAAGTAATGGACTATTTGGCAGCTATATTAAGACTTCCGTTGTTCTATATATCAATTCATTGTATAATTGTCTATAACAACTCCTATATGAGAGGCCCAGAGGATGGTGACAGTGTTGCCATTATATATATGAGAGGCCCAGAGGATGGTGACAGTGTTGCCATTATATATATGAGAGGCCCAGAGGATGGTGACAGTGTTGCCATTATATATATGAGAGGCCCAAAGGATGGTGACAGTGTTGCCATTATATATATGAGAGGCCCAGAGGATGGTGACAGTGTTGCCATTATATATATGAGAGGCCCAGAGGATGGTGACAGTGTTGCCATTATATCTTGGAACCTTCTAATTGCCTCATATAATTCACTATTTTTCTGGCAGTGTTTTCTGCAGCGTTTGATTTAACTTTGCAATCTTTTGTGTCCTAAGCTTCCCTAATTGCTTGATGCTGCCTGCGTCCTCTCCTGGAGCTGCCTGCGTCCTCTCCTGGAGCTGCCTGCGTCCCTTCCTGGAGCCTGGCTGCGTCCCTTCCTGGAGCCTGGCTGCGTCCCTTCCTGGAGCTGCCTGCGTCCTCTCCTGGAGCTGCCTGCGTCCTCTCCTGGAGCTGCCTGCGTCCTCTCCTGGAGCTGCCTGCGTCCTCTCCTGGAGCTGCCTGCGTCCCTTCCTGGAGCCTGGCTGCGTCCTTTCCTGGAGCCTGGCTGCGTCCCTTCCTGGAGCCTGGCTGCGTCCCTTCCTGGAGCTGCCTGCGTCCCTTCCTGGAGCCTGGCTGCGTCCTTTCCTGGAGCCTGGCTGCGTCCCTTCCTGGAGCCTGGCTGCGTCCCTTCCTGGAGCCTGGCTGCGTCCCTTCCTGGAGCCTGGCTGCGTCCCTTCCTGGAGCCTGGCTGCGTCCTCTCCTGGAGCTGCCTGCGTCCCTTCCTGGAGCCTGACTGCGTCCCTTCCTGGAGCCTGCCTGCGTCCCTTCCTGGAGCCTGGCTGCGTCCCTTCCTGGAGCCTGGCTGCGTCCCTTCCTGGAGCCTGCCTGCGTCCCTTCCTGGAGCCTGGCTGCGTCCCTTCCTGGAGCCTGGCTGCGTCCCTTCCTGGAGCTGCCTGCGTCCTCTCCTGGAGCTGCCTGCGTCCTCTCCTGGAGCCTGGCTGCGTCCGTTCCTGGAGCTGCCTGCGTCCTCTCCTGGAGCTGCCTGCGTCCGTTCCTGGAGCCTGGCTGCGTCCCTTCCTGGAGCTGCCTGCGTCCTCTCCTGGAGCCTGGCTGCGTCCGTTCCTGGAGCCTGGCTGCGTCCCTTCCTGGAGCTGCCTGCGTCCCTTCCTGGAGCTGCCTGCGTCCCTTCCTGGAGCTGCCTGCGTCCCTTCCTGGAGCTGCCTGCGTCCCCTCCTGGAGCTGCCTGCGTCCTTTCCTGGAGCTGCCTGCGTCCTCTCCTGGAGCTGCCTGCGTCCGTTCCTGGAGCCTGGCTGCGTCCCTTCCTGGAGCTGCCTGCGTCCTCTCCTGGAGCCTGGCTGCGTCCGTTCCTGGAGCCTGGCTGCGTCCCTTCCTGGAGCTGCCTGCGTCCCTTCCTGGAGGTGCCTGCGTCCCTTCCTGGAGGTGCCTGCGTCCCTTCCTGGAGCTGCCTGCGTCCCCTCCTGGAGCTGCCTGCGTCCTCTCCTGGAGCCTGGCTGCGTCCGTTCCTGGAGCCTGGCTGCGTCCCTTCCTGGAGCTGCCTGCGTCCCTTCCTGGAGGTGCCTGCGTCCCTTCCTGGAGCTGCCTGCGTCCCTCCCTGGAGCTGCCTGCGTCCCTTCCTGGAGCTGCCTGAGTCCCTTACTGGAGGTGTGGGGGACGTTATCCCTACAGACACAAATCGGAAGATACAGTTAACATTCTACTACAATAACAAGAAAGCGGCCAACCTACTCATAAAGAACTCTCCAGACACCAAGCAGAACGCCTTGAAGGAAGCCAACATCATCTATGCCTTCACATGCCCTCTTGGGGACTGTCGGCCCCAAAGATCTCAGTATATTGACAAGACAACAACGTCTCTTTCTAGGCGATTAACAATGCACAAACAACAGGGATCCTTCAAGACGCATATAATCTCCTTACACAACCAGACCATCCCCAGAGAAATCTTATCAAGCTACACAGAAGTTATCGACAGATACAGCGGTAGCAGGAGACTCGACATCAGCGAGGCACTACACATCAAAAAGTTAAAACCATCAATCAACAGCTAATTAGCACATGATAACATTCTACCCACTTCAAGACCCCGAACCAACACAGAAGAAGATAAAACAAGCAATGTATCCATTGATTCGTGTCCTGTATCACCTCACCCCAAAAATAAATGTAAGCATTAAACAGAGTATGTAAAATTGTCTTTGGAGATGTACGAAGTGTCATGCGAAATGCTCCTAGGCGTCAGACCATAAATAAAATGTGAAAATGAACTTTGGAGAATTAACTTTTCAAATACTCTCGACAGTGAAGAACAACATTAGAAATGTTGATAAGATTCGTGTTAGATCTTATCCTTTCGGTCATATTCGACTACATATTATATATATATATATATATATATATATATATATATATATATATATATATATATATATATATATATATATATATATATATATATATATATATATATATATATATATATATATCCCATATTATGGTATATTGACTCAGGTCAATAGTTGTAAACCCGTATACTCCCAGAGAGGTATATATGTATTAGGACGAAGTTTACCGCAGAGTTTCCCTCTTAGTAAACAGAAGGTTTCATGTGGGCGGAGCTGTCCCAGACCAAACCGTTTGGGCCCAATTGGACGGCCTTTATTGAGCTGTTAATCTCAGGTTTTGTGGTCTTTCCAATCGCTAAATTCCTGCCTCGGATATCGGTTATGTTGTCTGGGTTAATATCGGCATATTGGGGAGTTGGTGTGTTGGTGGATGGTGGTGGTTGGTGGTGGATAGTGGTGGTTGTGGTGGGTGGTGGTAGTGTACATGGTGAGGGTGGTTGGTGGTGCTGGTAGTATAGGAAGTGTTGCTGATTAGTGGCGATGGTAGTGTATGTGGTGGTGGTAGTAGTGGTGGTGGTGGTGGTAGTGTACATGGTGAGGGTATGGTGGTGGTAGGAAGTGTTGCTGGTAGTAGTGGTGGTGGTAGGTGGTGGTGGTGGTGGTAGTGGTGGTGGTAGTGTAGTGGTGAAGGGTGGTGGTGGTGGTGGTAGTAGTGGTGGTGGTAGTGTAGGTGGTGGTGGTGGTGGTGAAGGTAGTGGTGGTGGTGGTGGTGGTAGTGGTGGTGGTAGTGTAGGTGGTGGTGGTGGTGAAGGTAGTGGTGGTGGTGGTGGTGGTAGTGGTGGTGGAGGTGGTGGTGGTGAAGGTAGTGGTGGTGGTGGTGGTGGTAGTGGTGGTGGTAGTGTAGGTGGAGGTGGTGAAGGTAGTGGTGGTGGTAGTGTAGGTGGTGGTGGTGGTGAAGGTAGTGGTGGTGGTAGTGTAGGTGGTGGTGGTGGTGGTGAAGGTAGTGGTGGTGGTGGTGGTGGTAGTGATGGTGGTAGTGTAGGTGGAGGTGGTGGTGGTGAAGGTAGTGGTGGAGGTTGATAGTGGTGATGGTGGAAGTGATAGTGAGTACCAGAAACTCCGTGATGACTTATATACAAGATCAATTCTATTTTTACCAAAAATATCTTCTCCCTCAACCACCAAGTTTTCCTCCATAGTGAAGAGCCTTGTGAGAAGTGACCAACATGCAAGTTCAGTGCTCCTCTGTCGGCTTCTCCTCACTTATATCTTACCTCAAGATACATCTTAACCTGTAGAAGAGGGTGGAAGGTACACAAAAATGGCCTCCTTCAGCGCCCTCAGCACATATGATTGTTCATTTACACATTCCAATCTGGGAGGGAACACCCAGGATCCTGATTATCATTCACTGATTGGTCACCAGTCTCACGGCTCTCCTGACTTCGGAGGCTCACCATAGCCCGTGCTTGTTGCCCCGCTCCTGTTCCGGGTAAGTTACGGGTTCGCCATAGCCCGTGCTACTTGGAACTTGTTCCGAGTAGTTGTATCTA